ATCATCATCATCATCATCATCATCAGCATCAGCATCAGCATCAGCATCAGCATCATCAGCATCATCAGCATCAGCAGCAGCATCATCATCATCAGCATCATCATCATCAGCATCATCAGCATCCCCATCATCATCACCGTCAACGGCATCATCGGCAGCAGCCTCAGCATCACCACCATCAGCATCATCAGCATCAGCATCATCAGCATATTCATCATCGCCAGCATCATCATCAGCATCATCATCATCATCAGCATCATCAGCATCAGCATCATCATCATCATCATCATCACCAGCATCGGCATCATCATCATCACCCCCCTGTTTCACCCTCCTCCTCCTCCTCCTCTTCCGCCTCCTCCTCCTCCTCAGCCGCTTCGTATTCCTCTTCCTCCTCATCCTGATCCTCCTCTTCCTTCTCATTCCCCCCCTCCTCCTCCTCCTCCTCCTCCTCCTCCTACTCTCCTCCTCCTCCTCCTCCTCTCATTCTCATCATCATAAACAACAGCATCAATCGTTGTCATCATCACATCAGCCTCATCTTTCTCCTCCACCCCTCCTCCTTCCTCCTTCCTTCTCCTCTCTTCTTCCTCCCTCCGCCTTCTCCCCCCTCTCCCTCCTTCCCTCCCCTCCTCCTCCTCCTCCTCCATCCTCCTCATCATCATGATCATCATCATCATATCATATCATCATCATCTCATTCATCAATCACACATCATCTTTTCCTCCTCCTTACTCTTCATCTCCTTCTCATCTCCTTCTCATCTCCTCCTCCGCCCTCCTCCCTCCTCCTCTCATCCTCACCTCCTCTCCTCATCCTCCTCATACGCATACTCATACTTCCTACTCCTCTCTCCTCCGCCTCCGCCTCCGCATCCGCCCCCTCATCCTCTCCTCCTCCTCCTTCCGCCTCCTCTTTCCTCCTCCTCCTCCTCCTCCTCCTCCTCCTCCTCCTCCCCCTCCCCCTCCTGCCTCCCTCCTTCTCCTCCTCCTCCTCCGCCACTTCCTCCTCCTCATCACCATTCCCATCCTCGTTCTCCTCCTCCCCCTCGTATTCATTCACCTCCTCCTCCGCCTGCTCCTCCTTCTCCTCCCCCTCTCCCTCCGCCTTCTCCGCCTCCTCCTCTTCCTCCTCCTCCTCCTCCTCATCCTCCTCATCCTCCCTGAACTGGGACTGGAGCCACATGAGGAGGTGGAGGAGGAGGAGGAGGAGGAGGAGGAGGAGGAAGGGTAAGTGGAAGAGGAGGAGGAGGAGGAGGAGGAGGAGGAGCAGGGGGAGAACCAGGAGGAGGAGAAGAAGGAGGAGGAGGAGGTGGAGGAGGGGGAGGCGGAGGAGTCGGATAAGGAGGAGGAGGAGGAGGTGGACCAGTGCAAACCCAAGAGTCATCAACGATGTTGGAATAAACCCTTTCTCCAAGCTGCCTCGTCATAGGCCCCTTCAACGGTCCACGTCACGGATCAACTTGACTGTTACGTTTTGACGATCCTGAATCGTGACATGCTTGGGACTTCAGCACTGCGAATAAACGTAGCTGTTGCACCCGCAACATCCTGAACCAGTCCAAAACGCACTTCTTTCGTATTTTGATCATGGGAATCCGTGTAACTCTTGCAAAGCTTATAAACGAATGTGCCGGCGCTAAGGTGGGAGCCACATTTTGAAAAGGAACCGCCCTCAATCCGTGAAGTTCTTGCAATTGCTTGCAACGAATGTGCACGGCGCTAAGGCAGAAGCCACATTTTGAGAAAGAGCCGGTCTCAATCCGTGAAACGCTTGCACAATGTATAAACTAATGTGCGCGGCGCTATAACGAGAGCCACACTTTGGAAAGGAACAGCCTTCAAACCGCGAAACTCTTGCAACTGTTTGCAACGAATGTGCGCGGCGCTAAGGCGAGAGCCACATTTTGAAAACGGGTCGCCATCAATCCGTGAAGCTCTTGCATTTTTTAGAACGAGTGTGCGCGGCGCTAAGGCGAGAGCCACATTTTGAAAACGGGTCGCCCTCGATCTGCGAAACTCTTGCAAGTGTTTAAAGCGAATGAGCGCGGCGCTAGGGCGAGAGCCACATTTTGAAAACTACCCACCCTCCATCTGTGAAGCTATTACCAATGTTTATGCTTCAGGGTCATACGTGGTGAGGATATTTCAGTTGAAACGCCCGGCCCGCCCTAAAAACTTGCCTCGGGGTGCGACAGGGAGAAGTTATTCATAAGGAAAAGGAGCGGAGGAGGAGGAAGAGGAGGAGAAGGAGGGAGTGGAAGAGGAGGAAGAGGAGGAGGACGAGGAGGAGGAGGAGGAGGAGGAGGAGGAGAAGGGGGAGAGGGAGGAGGAGGAGGCGGAGGAGGAGGAGGAGGAGGAGGAAGAGGAGGAGGAGGAAGAGGAGGAGTAGGAGGAGGAAGAGGGCGAGGAGGAAGCGGAGGAGAAGAAGGAGGAGGAGAAGGAGGAGGAGGAGGAGGAGGGGGAGGAGGAATGGGAGGTGGAGGGGGAGGTGGACGGGGATAAGAGAAGGAGGAGACATTTATCTCAGGATCCAGCTTGTCCTGATGTGGTTTAATGTTATCAACAGCGAGCTTGGCATTCGTTGAAGTATCCCGAGATCCTGGGGAAGCTCTTGTGAAGCTCCAGAGGTCCTCCAGATGAGTCATGGATGGTCACGTCCCACCTCTCGGCTGTCATCGCTACTCTGTGTGGCGTTGGGCGGACCCCCGTATCCGCGTGGCTTTGGCAGGACCCTCAAGGGCCAGAGTATCCCTTCAACCCCTGAACTGGGACCAGCAAAAGCTTGTCCTCTTTCACCTGGAGTTCCTCCTCACTATGCGTAGCTGGGGCAAGTCGACTCCATACGCTCAGAACTCTAGGTGCTTGGAGGAAGGGGGCGACGTTTACTCCCTCAGGCTCTACACGGCCAGGAAAAGGTCCGATATCACGGAAAAACAACGGAATCTCGAGCATGACCCCCCTCCCCACGCCAAGTCAGGCCCCATCAAGGAGGAACTCCAACGCCAGGCATCTCTCCCGGCCGCTCTCGCCGCGGCCTGTGCATCGAGGTGTTGGAGCGCCCACCCGCCGCTTCGAGTGCGGCCAGGGGGAGGACTCAGACCTGCGCTCTCTGCGGGCAGCCACGCGCAGATGCTCTGCACAAGCTCTGGACCTGCCCCGAGCTCCCCGGCCTCGGCCACCCGGAGGTCCAGAAGACTCAGGCATCAGTTGACCGAGCAGGCAGCCTCGGCCACCCAAAGGAGTCCAGAAGACTCAGGCAAATCGGTTATTTCCATGTGCTCGCCTGCCTGCCGGCGTGCGCCCAGCGGCTCGACACGCTGGCCCCGCGTCAAGGAAAAAGCAGAGTCTCAAGCAACCGCGGCTCCGTGGCTCAGAGGCAGCATCCCCGCCACTCCGCCATCGGCAGGCCCACTGCCACGTCTTCGGGCTCCGGGCTCGGGCCGTGCACGGTCCGCAGAAGGCGTCCTCGAGCAGCACCATATCCCTACGATTTCGACCTTTGGCCAGTGGCAGCCACGGGCGGCAGCGGTGGAGCCCCCATGCGAGATCCACGACTCCGGGTCTATGGATTGAGCGTCTCGCTACGGACCCCCGCGCTCGCCCCGGAGGGGACCATCCAGGGGGGCATCATCGGGACCCAGACCGTCCCCCATCGCGGAGCTCGAGGCGGTCGCTGTCTTGCTCCAGTCCACCAGGAGGCCTTTGCTCATCATCACAGATTGCGCCTACGTCATCGCACGGTTCACTCGCGGCCCACAGTTTCGGCATTACAGAAACGTCCCGACTTGGAAGGATGTTTTGGAGTGTTGTCAGCGGCCGCAGGGACCGCATCATTTCCTACAAAGTCAAAACTCAACCCAGCATGACTAAAGTTTTTGTGGATGCGTGTCGTCCCTACACCTTACGATCATTCAGACAAGCTCCCCTCGGAAGCAGCCCATTGAGGAAGGATTCCCGATTGACCCGTTCGCCAGTTTGAAGGGACATACATCCACGCGGACCTCATCAGAGACAGGTCGGCAGCAGCTCAGCAGTAATTTTGGGACCACGAGGATTCCTTGGGAGCTGAGGAGGAGGACATCAATGAGGCCTCTAGGAAGGTGAAGGTTCACCGTAGTGTGGAGGCTCTTAGGGTGGAATTTGACAGGACCCCACACTGTCTCACTCGTGCTCCCTCCTCTTTTCCAGGTTTCTTGCCGCCGCTGTGGTAAAATAGGGACCCCCGGGTGGCTCAAGACCCCTAGTGTCCCCAGATGCCCACGGACCCCCTCCCACCTCGGCCACGACCTTTTTTTACAGGAGTTCACAGGGATCTATAGTGGTTTCACCAGGTGTGGCGCCTGGTCAGTTCGTGCGGCCGAGACGTTGGTTTCATGTTGCACCCCTCCCACAGATGGAGGTCGACGGGCTTTCTCCCGATTCGGGCAAGGCGAGCTCCCGCCAGGGCTACGAGCCTGGCCAATCCTCGGCCCTCCCCGATCGAGGGAGGTGCAGGCCGACCGCGCGCGGCGGGGCGAGGACTGCGAGGGCGGCACGCGCGGAGGGATGATGATGATGATGATGATGATGATGATGATGATGATGATGATGATGATGATGATGATGATGATGATGATGATGATGATGATGATGATGATGATGATGATGATGATGATGATGATGATGATGATGATGATTATGATTATGATTATTATGATTTATGATTATGATTATGAGGAGGAGGAGGAGGAGGAGGAGGAGGAGGAGGAGGAGGAGGAGGAGGAGGAGGAGGAGGAGGAGGAGGAGGGGGGGGAGGAGGAGGGAGGAGGAGGAAGAGGAGGCGGAGGAGGCGGAGGCATCCATGCGTGCCTCTGGCCTCCTGGCAGGAACCCTGGCCTCGGAAGCAAAGGGCTTTGTACCTGCGCGTGTGCCCGATAGCGTCGGAGATCGAACGAAGTTGGATCGTCGGAGATCGTCGTCCAGAGCCCTGACCTCGGAAGCGGAGGGCCCACCCCGAGGAGCCCGAGCGCGACGGCGAGGCGGAGCCCGAGTGCGGCGGCGAGGCGGGCGGCGTGGACCGGACGCGCATGGAGATCCAGGGCGCGCTCTTCGCAGCCGCGGAG